CCTGGATCACAGCAGGTCATAAGATATTAAAGAAATATTGTTTCTAATGTACAGCCCTCGCACAGCATTCCTAATGGGCTGAAACTGCATATTTAACTGTTTATTTTCCAGGACGAAGCAACGTTGTAAATTCTCAATGTATCCACAGTCCTGTATGGCACGTCTTTTTCTTTGATCAAGGTGTCCATTGTTGTAGCAGGAGAGTATGCATTATATATGTAGTCTTCACACTTTTTAAGTTAGTGATGGGCAGATCATCCGAGGATATGGAGGCCAGTGAAGGATATTGCAATCTGCAAACCTAGCATCGCTAAATTTACTCACACCTTTATTTTATAGAGTTTTTAATTAAAATATTCCTTTAAATTGCAAAATCTAAGGAAAATACCCGAATTGGGAATGAAATTGTAATTCAGGTTTTCAGTAAAGGAATGCTGTGATTGCTCCCAAATGTGTCATTCAGTGTCTGCTCATATCTTGGCCCTGAAATGGTTGAAATTCCATGCAAAGTATTGAAGTTTGTATGTTTTTCAAACTCAGAATTGTTCCTGACTGTTAACATACTAAGGTACAATCTGAGGTTTAGGGTTGCTTGTTGTTTTTTTTAGCAGATGAAATTGCAGAGAAAAATTGGCCGACAGGGTGCTTGTACAGGATTAAAAATTAATAAAAAAAAAGAATTCAAATTTAACAGGTCCCTTGGACTGCTTGTTATCTCTGGGATCCGGTAGAATAGACTCACTGTCCCATTGCACTGTGGCCAGTGAGGGTTGGACGGAAACTTTGTATTAACCCTCACACTGCCCCCTCTTGTCTGTATAAATAAGGGGCCACGTAGCCCACTAACTTCTATAATGTTTAGTCCACTGATTTATTTCTGTAAATGTTTCAGAATAACGGAGTTTACAAAATGCTTTCTATTTTTCACAATGGTTGGTTTCCTGAATGTTCCATATTGGAACGCAATTCAAGGTTTATTAAATAACCCTCGGTGCATTAAGGTTTCAGCTTGACTTTTAAACCCAATTTGACAACTCTCGGCCGTTCTCTGCCATTCCCAGTTTAGTAAATAATCCCCAGAAGGTTTTTTTTCATGGAGGAGTAACGTATTTTAGGGCAGGGTTTGTCTTTAGGTAAATATCTGCCCAGGAGGTCAGTTGTGATGTGACCGTGCCAGGGACAGAGGCAACTTGTTGCAGTTCAGTTACACGGTGCGATCTCAATTTCCTTTAAAATAAATAAATGTACTATTCTTTCCAGGTTGAATGCGTTGGAGTGGCGTCCATTCTGAAGCGGCGGCCCCCCAGCTGTCCCCAGCATGTGAGCCGCGCAGTTGTTAAAGTAGAGGACAGAATAGTTGGCAGCGACCAGAGGTTGTTTTTCAAACTCAGGTTACTATAGAAACGCTCAGGCTATCCAAGCCAGGGGGACTAAAATGTATCCCCCCTCCTCTCCAAAAAAAAAATAAAATCAGCAAACTGATATGATATGATGATGATCCGAGCAGCTGACAGAGGCAGGAGTGAAGGGCACGGGATCCAGCCTCCACTGAAATCCTCAGGGCCCTCCAAAATTTGCATGTTGAGTGTTTTTTGCTTGGGGCCACTTCCCACTTAATCACAGTTTTCGATGCAAAAGAGCAATCTTGGAGTCCAGCTAGTTTTTATTTTCATCTGTTGCTGCGTTAACCTTTATATTGCCACACGGAAAGGGTGTACAAGGCACTCTCTTACAGTGCATTGCTCACACTTTTAATGGGTTCTCTCTATTTTTACGCGAGGCCCCTTTCCTATTACAAAGCTTTTACCGGGCCAACTAAATTAGCCAAGTTGGGGCATTATAAAGTCATTGCAGTGAAGCTCTGCTACTTGTGAGTCCTTACAACACTAGGACAAGATGAACAAAGTGCCTGTTAGATGGGAATACTGAAAGCACTTACAGGGTAGTGGCATAAACTAATTATAGGTATAATGACGGGTGCTAGACGGGATTAGTATTAATACTTGCATCTTGTTGTTCCTAGCTTGGGAGAAGTCATATTTAGAAGATAATGTAATCTTTCACTAACTTTACCAGCTCACTCTGGGGTCCGGAGAACCTCAGCTTTACCTTTGATTAGGACAGGCAGCAATTTTCTTCTACAAGTTAAACACTACTCAAAATATGTTTCTCCTTGTAAACATTCAGGATCCTCTTTATTTATGGGTACGTCACTGGATATGCTGTTTCCTGGCTTAAGGACACTAAATTCTTTAGAAACCTTTAGTTTGTGCCTTCACACATGGCAGCTATGCAATGTCCGTAAACGACCAAGACTTATGTAATCAGATGAGATTTTATTATTTTTTGTGGAGTTATGAAAGATTGACACAGAGAGTGGTGATTAGCTAAAAAGGCTAACGCCATACAAACATATAATTGCGCTTTTCACATAAAGCTACTGGGTGACTGTCCTTTAATGTGCTTTCATTTTGTTGTGTGCTGCTTGAAAGAATACTTTTTCTCAAAGTATTGCCATCTGAAACCAATTTCCAAACCCTGAGATGGTATTAAAACCTTGCCACATTACCCACGGATGGCTGCAGCTACACCATCGTCCAGCAGTATTCAGCCCACACACTGGTTTAGCAGCCTTCCCAGCCACCACGCCAAAGCTCCCCATCGAGTGACATCTTTGTTTTGTTTTCTGACACAACTGCTGGCATTTCCAATGCTGAACCCTGGTGCCAGGGGAAATGCTTGCACAGAGAGGAATTTCTGGAGCGTGTATTGGTTGTAGACTGGCAATGCCCCAATGAAAGGCTGTATTCCAGTATGCAGACTACAGAACCATGTACTTGCCAATTTGATACATGTAAGTAGGGTGGAGTTGATGGTAAAGTGAATATCTTTAAAAATAAAATGAAAGTCCTTTATTCTGCCAAAGAAGACAGGCAATGCTTTGCCTAGGAAGAGGCTGATGGTCATGGTTTGTATGGCATAGAGACATAGAAACATAGAATGTGACGGCAGATAAGAACCATTCGGCCCATCTAGTCTGCCCAATTTTCTAAATACTTTCATTAGTCCCTAGCCTTATCTTATAGTTAGGATAGCCTTATGCCTATCCCACGCATGCTTAAACTCCTTTACTGTGTTAACCTCTACCACTTCAGCTGGAAGGCTATTCCATGCATCCCACTACCCTCTCAGTAAAGTAATACTTCCTGATATTATTTTTAAACCTTTGTCCCTCTAATTTAAGACCATGTCCTCTTGTTGTGGTAGTTTTTCTTCTTTTAAATATAGTCTCCTCCTTTACTGTGTTGATTCCCTTTATGTATTTAAATGTTTCTATCATATCCCCCCTGTCTCGTCTTTCCTCCAAGCTATACATGTTAAGTTCCTGGCATTGGCAACAACCATAAGCACCAACCAGATACAGGATACTGAGCTTAATGGACAAGTTCAGTGCTGTGTTAAGCCATGATGGGATTGACCACTGACTTTAATGGCTCAAGCAGACTCATTACATTAACTTTCTACCAGACATGTTCGTGGACACTGGCAAAGCCAGGCATTATCACATGGTATTTAAAATTAATTGGTTAAGATTACTAATACTCAGTCATGTGTTTTTGAAAGGGCCCGACTCAAATTGTGCATAGATTTCATCCCCTCTCTCCAGCAGTGCAGGGTGGTGTGATTCCCTCTCTCCAGCAGTGCAGGGTGTTGTGATTCCCTCTCTCCAGCAGTGCAGGGCAGTGTGATCCCCTCTCTAGCAGTGCAGGGCGGTGTGATTCCCTCTCTCCAGCAGTGCAGGGTGGTATGATCCCCTCTCTCCAGCAGTGCAGGGCGGTGTGATCCCCTCTCTCCAGCAGTGCAGGGCGGTGTGATCCCCTCTCTCCCGCAGTGCAGGGCGGTGTGATCCCCTCTCTCCAGCGGTGCATGGCGGTGTGATTCCCTCTCTCTAGCGGTGCAGGGTGGTGTGATCCCCTCTCTCTAGCGGTGCAGGGTGGTGTGATCCCCTCTCTCTAGCGGTGCAGGGCGGTGTGATTCCCTCTCTCTAGCGGTGCAGGGCGGTGTGATTCCCTCTCGGTGCTAGCGGTGCAGGGTGGTGTGATTCCCTCTCTCTAGCAGTGCCCGGTGCAGGGTGTGATTCCCCTCTCTCTAGGCGGTGCAGGGCGGTGTGATTCCCTCTCTCTAGCGGTGCAGGGTGGTGTGATTCCCTCTCTCTAGCAGCAGGGTGGTGTGATCCCCTAGCGTGTGTGCAGGGCGGTGTGATTCCTCTCTAGCGGTGCAGGGGTGATGAGATTCCTCTCTAGCAGTGCAGGGCGGTGTGATCCCTCTCTCCAGCAGTGCAGGGTGTTGTGATTCTCTCTCCAGCAGTGCAGGGCAGTGTGATCCCCCTCTCTAGCAGTGCAGGGCGTGTGATTCCCTCTCCAGCAGTGCAGGGCGGTGTGATCCCTCTCCAGCAGTGCAGGGCGGTGTGATTCCTCTTCTCTAGCAGTGCAGGGCGGTGTGATCCCTCTCTCCCGCAGTGCAGGGCGTGTGTGATCCCCTCTCTCCAGCGGTGCATGGCGGTGTGATTCCCTCTCTAGCGTGCAGGGGTGGTGTGATCCCTCTCTCTAGCGGTGCAGGGCGGTGTGATTCTCTCTAGCGCCGTGCAGGGCGGTGTGATTCCCTCTCTCCAGCAGTGCAGGGCGGTGTGATCCCCTCTCTCCAGCAGTGCAGGGCGGTGTGATCCCCTCTCTCCAGCGGTGCAGGGCGGTGTGATTCCCTCTCTCTAGCGGTGCAGGGTGGTGTGATTCCCTCTCTCTAGCGGTGCAGGGCGGTGTGATTCCCTCTCTCTAGCGGTGCAGGGCGGTGTGATTCCCTCTCTCTAGCTGTGCAGGGTGGTGTGATTCCCTCTCTCCAGCAGTGCAGGGCGGTGTGATTCCCTCTCTCCAGCAGTGCAGGGCGGTGTGATTCCTCTCTCCAGCAGTGCAGGGCGGTGTGATTCCCTCTCTCTAGCAGTGCATGGCGGTGTGATTCCCTCTCTCTAGCGGTGCAGGGCGGTGTGATTCCCTCTCTCTAGCGGTGCAGGGTGGTGTGATTCCCTCTCTCTAGCAGTGCAGGGTGGTGTGATCCCCTCTCTCTAGCGGTGCAGGGCGGTGTGATTCCCTCTCTCTAGCGGTGCAGGGTGGTGTGATTCCCTCTCTCTAGCGGTGCAGGGCGGTGTGATTCCCTCTCTCTAGCGGTGCAGGGGTGTGATTCCCTCTCTCCAGCGGTGCAGGGGCGGGTGGCGGGTTTCCCTCTCTCCAGCGGTGCAGGGTGATTGTGATTCCTTCTCTCTAGCGGTGCATGGTGTGATTCCCTCTCTCTCCTGGTGCGGGGTTGGTGGGTCCCTCTCTCCTGATTGGCGGTGTGATTCCCTCTCTCAGCAGTGCAGGGTGTTGTGATTCCCTCTCTCTAGCAGTGCAGGGTGGTGTGATTCCCTCTCTCCAGCGATGCAGGGCGGTGTGATTCCCTCTCTCCAGCGGTGCAGGGTGTTGTGATTCCCTCTCTCCAGCGGTGCAGGGTGGTGTGATTCCCTCTCTCCAGCAGTGCAGGGCGGTGTGATTCCCTCTCTCTAGCAGTGCAGGGTGTTGTGATTCCCTCTCTCTAGCAGTGCAGGGTGTTGTGATTCCCTCTCTCTAGCAGTGCAGGGCGGTGTGATTCCCTCTCTCTAGCAGTGCAGGGTGTTGTGATTCCCTCTCTCCAGCGGTGCAGGGTGTTGTGATTCCCTCTCTCCAGCGGTGCAGGGCGGTGTGATTCCCTCTCTCCAGCGGTGCAGGGTGTTGTGATTCCCTCTCTCCAGCGGTGCAGGGTGGTGTGATTCCCTCTCTCTAGCGGTGCAGGGTGGTGTGATTCCCTCTCTCCAGCAGTGCAGGGTGGTGTGATTCCCTCTCTCCAGCAGTGCAGGGCGGTGTGATTCCCTCTCTCTAGCGGTGCAGGGTGGTGTGATTCCCTCTCTCCAGCAGTGCAGGGCGGTGTGATTCCCTCTCTCCAGCGGTGCAGGGTGGTGATTCCCTCTCTCCAGCGGTGCAGGGTGGTGTGATTCCCTCTCTCCAGCGGTGCAGGGTGGTGTGATTCCCTCTCTCCAGCGGTGCAGGGTGGTGTGATTCCCTCTCTCCAGCAGTGCAAGGCGGTGTGATTCCCTCTCTCTAGCGGTGCAGGGTGGTGTGATTCCCCCTCTCTAGCGGTGCAGGGTGTTGTGATTCCCTCTCTCCAGCAGTGCAGGGCGGTGTGATTCCCTCTCTCTAGCAGTGCAGGGTGTTGTGATTCCCTCTCTCTAGCGGTGCAGGGCGGTGTGATCCCCTTTTAATATTGGGAAAGACAAGTGAGTCACAGCTGGACACATGTAAAATTTTAAATCCTATTTATTCTCTCCGTCTGTTTTGCGCTGACAGAGCTTGGCAGTAGATTGTCCAAGACTTGTAACTTAGTAGCTGAATGAACTCTGTTTCAAAGGTTAATACCGAAATCTGGAGCGAATTACGTAAAATTACTTACACCACCATTAAAATTCCCAGCTCTTTTTGTTGTGGTTGTAAATTAATTTAAAATGTTTTTTTTTTTCTTTTATTCTCTCCCCCCAAAAAAGAAAGAAAAAATAAAAGGCTAAGAATTTGAGCCAACAGAGCAATCTGTAAAACGTCTGGCAGCAAAAAACTGTGTCTTCTATTGACAAGAAAAAATATGGATCTTAAGGAGAAACATATGGCAGGCACTCCAGAGGAAAATCTGTGAAGAAAGGGAGAGCTGACATGTAGTAGGGCAAGTGGGAGTAGATAGGGTAACCGTCTGCTTCTTGATTACTGGGGACAATGTGTACACCCCAGGGGAACATGAGTCAGCTCTGTCCTGATACTTTAAAACCAAGAATGGGGAAACAGTGCAGCCTTAAAGCTCAGAGCACAGCTTAACTTGGTGGAAGGCAGGTTGCAATTCAGGGAGGAAAGCGCATATTAATCTGAGAATAGAGCACCAATGCATCTGTAAATCGCCAGCTGTCTGCTTGTGTGAAATTAGGGACCACCATTCCCCTCACGTGACACCACTTTTACCGCGCAGGTCCAGAGATCATCAGCAGTGATATTGTAGATTAATCGCTTCAGTTTGGGTGCATATTTAATGAGGAGGCCATACTGTGATTTTGTTTAAAGCGGCACTGTCATGGCCAAATCCAGTTTTTGGTTTTTTTACCCCCCTCCTGACTCCACTACATCTAATTGCCCCCCCCCCACCCTACAGTCACGCACAAATGCCCCTACGCCACCATATTACCTATTTTTTTATCTTAATTTCGTGCCCGGACCTAGGTGAAGTCCCGGTGGGACACGTCATCTGCCCACACTAGATAGCGCTGTGAAATTCCTGCTTATGCCCAGTTAAACACTTGGGCATTCAATATTGTCTGAAATTCGGACGGGTATTATATATATTCAGAAAGACCAAGGAATGTATAGAAATTTCAGACACACAAACACCATCGGGGTTCGCTTGTTTGTTTGTTCAGTTTATTACAAGGAGGGAGCTACCAGCGTACAGCGCCCTCCTTGTAATATGTAAAAATAGAAGCGGCAAGGAGCATTGCTCCCCGCCACTTTCAAAGCACCCCAGGTTGTATGACCCCCATATAAGCATAAGGGAATCCAGAATGCCTCTACTCGCTATGCTGCGAGTAGGGGCATTTAAAAAAAAGCCCCCCCCCTTTGAACAAATGGCCCCATGGTAGGGCATCTATTAACTAGCAAGGGGGACATAGTGTCTCCCACAGCCCTCACCTGTACCCTGTGAGTGGGGGCTATGCAACTAAACAGGGGACATAAGGTTCTATTCCCCCCCCTCCCCCGACACACACCCATGAGCGGCGGGTGGGGCCCTAAATAAGAAAGGGAGGGGGACCTATTGTCCCACCGGCCCCCACCTATGAGTGGCAGATGGGGGCCCTAAAAGACAATGGGGGGCCTATTGTCCTCCACCCGGCCTCCACCCATAAGCAGCAGGTGGAGACCCTAAAAGACAATGTGGGTAACCTATTGTCCACCCCTGGCACCCACCCAGGAGCGGCGGGTGGGGGCCATAAAAGACAATGGGGGGGACCTATTGTCCTCTGCCCGACACCCACCCATGAGCAGCAGATGGGGACCCTAAAAGACAATAGGGGGGCTATTGTCCTCCCCCCAGCCCCCACCCATGAGCGGCAGGTGGGGGCACTAAAAGACAATGGGGGGGGACCTATTGTCCCCCTTACGGCCCCCACCCATAAGCAGTGTGTGGGGGCCCTAAAAGACAATGGGGGGACCTATTGTGTTCCCTTCCGGCCCCCATCCATGAGCAGTGGGTGGGGGCCCTAAAATACAATAGGGGGAACCTATTGTCCCCACCCCATAGGAAAGACCCTATCTTGGTCTTTCAGCCTTTTGATAGATAGCTCCCTGATACCGTGGGAGATGCAGCCGGGCCACGGATCGGAATCTCATTAATTCGAATGAAATTCCGATCCAAACAAAAGTCACAGATTTCATCCTAACACGAATCGATGAACTGCTTTCATTCTGTTAGGACGAAATTCGGTAGTTTGGCCTGCGTCCTGTCGTGACAGGAAGTTTGGGAATAGTGAAAGGAGGCATCGTGAGATCAGAGGAAAGGTGAGAATTGCGGAAAAATTTCTCTGGCCACAGGAAACGGAGCACACTTTGCTCCTGCGCTGGTCATATTTGGTCAGGTGTAGGAAATATACATAAGACAAATAGTCCCAACTTTGACTTATGTTTTAAAGAAAACTAGAGCAGATAGGAAGAAATGAAGAACAGATCCTGAGAGAGGGAGTGAAGAGGAAGCAATTGGGGAAAGGTAAGTTAGGCATGACAGTGCTGCTTTAATTTTCACTGCTAGTCTGTTGATGCAAACAAAAGAAATCAGTTACTATTTTGCCCCACAATTATCCCTACAGGGTACATTTATACGTTACACAGGTAGCACAAGGCCACACCTTATTTACCTTAGACAGAACTCATCAAGTTATCAATTGCTCAGTTCCCTGCCAAGAAGACTTCAAAGGGGATTTCGGGTATTGGATGTACTCAGCAGGAACTCGGAAGCACTTTTACTAGTCGCATATTCCTGAGTGCTTTGCTGTCCCTTGTGGCTGTGGATAAAATTGACCTCACCAGGCCTGGATGGTTAAAGGGACACTCCAGGCACCCAGACCACTTCTGCCCATTGGAGTGGTCTGGATGCCAACTCCCACTACCCTTAACCCTGCAACTGTAAATATTGCAGTTTTCATAAACTGCAATATTTACCTTGCAGGGTTAACTCCACCTCTAGTGGCTGTCTAGTAGACAGCCACTAGAGGGCACTTCCGGGTTTATAGCACAGATTGTCTGTGCTATAGCGTCGCTGGATGTCCTCATGCTATGTGAGGACCTCCAGCGTCGCTGAAATCCCCATAGGAAAGCATTGAAAGCATTTTCAATGCTTTCCTATGGGGAGGTCTAATGCATTAGACCTCCCCTGTCGCTGGCCGCGCATACGCAATAGGTCTCCTCCGCTGAATGACGTCGGCGGGGGAGGAGCATGGGTGGACCCTGCATAAGCACCGAGGGACATCGGCGCTGGAAACAGGCAAGTCACTGAAGGGGTTTTAACCCCTTCAGCAACCTGGGATGGGGGTGGGAGGGAGAGGGGACCTGCAGTGCCAGGAAAACGGTTTGTTTTCCTGGCACTGAAGAGTCCCTTTAAGCCCAAACTTGTTCACTGAATACATACACTTACCTCTGTGTTCTCATCAGTGGCTGATGGTGATCACAGTAGGGATTGACTGATTATCGGTCTGGCCGATATTATCGGTATTATTTTGAATTTTCAGCAATGTCAATATCTACCTATAAAGATACGGATATTGCTGATAATGCAGACCAGGGCTACAAAAACACACTGCATTCACTATACACACACTACATTCATTATATACACACTACACAGACACACTCTGCATTCATTATATACACACTACACAAACACACACTCTGCATTCATTATATACACACTACACACACACTGCATTCATTATATACACACTACACACACACACACACTGCATTCATTATATACACACTACACACACACACACACTGCATTCATTATATACACACTACACAAACACACACTGCATTCATTATATACACACTACAAA